GTTGTGCAGTACTGGGCTCAGCAGGGCAAGAGGGTGCGCACGCCTCGCCGCAATGAGGACGGGACGCGTGCACGTGCGGTGTACAGGACACGCGTGGGTATTGGGCAGGAGTGTCCTGGCAAGTGCTGTGCCGCACATCGGATGCCGTCAGGATTGTGCGTGCGCCGACCGCAAACCCCGCTCATCCCCGGCCCCCCCACTCTGTTTGTGCGCGAATCGGCCAGGTGGCCATGTGCGCCCCCACTGGCCGCGCAGCCCAGCGGCTGCAGGAGATTGTGGGCTATCAAGGCCTGGAGGCCTCCACCATACACAGGTGAGGTCACGGACGTCAGCACGGCAGGGGCCGCCCCAGGTTGCCAGGGTGGAGAGGACGGTGGCGAAGGGGAGGCGGTCGAGTGTGCAAAAGACTAGGCATGACGCAAGGGGCGGGTATTGTGCCGTGTGCGCGTGGGCGCGTCCTGGCTTCATCGGATGATAAAGCTGGTGCGATGTTCTGGGGACGCGGGCTTGCAGCCGCACCGATGTTGAGGATGCTTTGAGCATTCTGAAGGCATGCTTTTGCGCATCTCGCAAGAATGCCCTGCGCCCTGCTCACATGGCTTGCCTGGATGGTGCTGCAGAAATTACCCCTTGTGCACCCCCCCTCATCCTGCCCTCCATTTTCGGCCGCCAGGCTCCTGGGCTACAAGGGGGGCCGCCGCGACAAGGCCACGGCCGCCGCCGCCGCCGCCGGCGACGACGCGGCCGAGGGCGTGGCGCTGGAGGGCGGGGCCGAGCGCGGGCTGGGGGGCAGCGGTGGCGCTGATGACGTGGCGGCTGACGTGGACGAGGAGCTGGACCTGGGGTCGGCCTGCACCCACAACAAACACGTGCGGCTGAGGCTGTGTGGGTGCACGCGGGTTTGTGTGTGAGTGCGTGTGTGTGTGTGTGTGTGAGTGTCCGTCAAGGTTGTGGTTAGCCTGTTGATGCATCTTTTCACTTCTGTGATTGCGCATGAGAGTGTGAAAATGGTATGTCTATGATCATGGTTGAATGCACGAGCGCTCGTGGATGTGCTTTGCATGGGCAGGGATTTTGTTTGATTATGTGGGGTGCCCGGGCTGGCTAACACTTTCCAACTGCAGGGGCTTGCCGTGATGATGGCAGGGGGGCCACACGTCTGGCTGTGGTGATCAGCCCTCCACACGCTCCCACAGCCTCTCCTGGCCATCAATGCCCACTCCAACACATCCACCCAGCGTGCTCACACGCGTGTGCGCACACACACTCACACATTTACACACACAACACACACGCGCCCATGCTCTGCCCCAGCGCCCCCTGCCCTACGACTGTGTTCTGCTGGACGAGGCGTCGATGATGGACCTGCCACTCGCGGCGGCACTGCTCAACGCAATAGAGTGAGCTTTGGGGAACGAAGGGACATTGGCGTGTGTTTGTGCGCGTGCGCGTGTGCGCACGCGTGTGCGGGCCTCCGCGTGGGCGTGGGCGTGCGTGTGCGTGTTTGCGTTCGTACGTGGGTGCTTGGGTGTGTGCGTTCGTGTGTGCGTGTATGTGGTTCATATTAACAGGGGGAGGGGGGCAGTCGCACACGCAGAGAACTTGCATGGCACTTTGTGTATGCGAGCCGTGCGCGTCCGCCCTCACCGCAACACAAGCTGTTGCCGCAAACCCCCACTCCCCTGCAGTTGCGGTCGCGCCTGATGATCCATAGCCTCGACTCACTCAGAACATCCACCATGACACCCCTCCTCCTCATCCTCAATCCCAACCCCCCCAGCCGCCGCACCACCCAGCTCGTCATTGTGGGCGACCCCGACCAGCTGCCACCCGTCGGCCCCGGGGCGCCCCTGCGCGCCGCCATTGACGCCGGCCTGCTGCCCCTGGTGGACCTCCGGCAGGCAAGAGGGGGCGCACCGCAGTGCCTAGCCCGGGCACTCTTCGCTTTGCTGGGCAGAAGGCAGGGGTAGGGGAGGGGTTTGCGTGGGCCGCCGGCGTCCGGCACGCATATTGGTTGCTTTTCTGCTGCAGCCCTCAAGGGGATGCAAACAGGTGGAGGGGTGCACTACAATGGGTGCTGGAGTTTGCGGTTGATTTGAGAGCTGTGGGCAGGTGCAGGGCGTGGCGTTGACCGATGTCCACTGGTGTTGCCTCGTGTTGGCTGGCGAGCTCATTGCTGCCTGGCCAAATCGGCCCCCGAATCGCCTCACTCTCGCTTGTCCAGAGCAACGGCTCCTCTCCCTCCCTCCGCCCTCTGGCCCCCCACTGGCCCCCCCAACGCCCTGCGCCCCACTCGCAGGTGTTCCGCCAGAGCGAGGCCAGCGCCATCGTGCGGGGCGCTCACGCCATCAACAAGGGTGGGCCGCACACACCCGCTCATCGCAGGGACCCGCCTCATCGGGACTTGTTTCATGCCCTCAGCTCGCTTGATCATGTTTGGCATCCCGCCGGGTAGCCTCCCGCAGCCCTGTCCACAAGCGGGCTATCTCAGGGCCCCCTCATCATCCACACCCCAGTTGCACCCTTCAAACCAATACCTTCAGGTCCTTTCCCATC